ACTCCAGGATACGTTGCATAGTAGTGGCTTGTTGGTACTTTTTGAAGTCCGGCAGTGCAAGGCCTCCTCTGATCCTGGGTAGGCAGAGCGTTTCATGTCGAAGGCGGGATCTTTCCCCTCTCCAAACATATCGGATGACCGCCGATTTCAGGCTAGAGAAGAACGTTGTAGGTAGCGATATTGGGATGGTTTGGAATAAGTATAATATCCGTGGTAGCACGTTCATCTTGAGGACCGCTATCCTGCCGTGCCAGGTGATGTGTGGATATGCCCATCGATCTAGGTCCGAAGTTACTTGTCGTAGTATGGTGGCAAAATTGTGTTGGTACAGGTCGCGTGGGTTGTGTGTTACCCAGATGCCGAGATATTTCATCTTCCCCTCACATCTGCGAAATGGGAAAGCTGCGCTCAGTGTGGCAAATTCGGTTGGTGGGAAGGTGACGTTAAGGATCTCACATTTAGATAAATTAAGTTTGAATCCTGCTATTTTGCCGAAGTTTTCAAATTCCCGGAGCAAGCATGGCAGTGTGATTCGTGGATTAGAGACGAAAAAGAGGAGATCGTCCGCATATGCGGCCACTTTGTGTTCCGTCCCTTTCCATGAATAGCCCTGGATGTCAGGGTTCTGTCGTATTGCCTGTAGGAGCGGTTCCAGAGACATTGCGAATAAAAGGGGGGATAGGGGGCACCCCTGCCTGGTCCCGTTGTGAATCTCAAAGCTGGTCGTAAGTGCTCCATTTACCTTAACCGCTGCGCTGGGTTTATCGTATAATGCCGATATCCACGACATCATCTTCGGTCCCATTCCCATGGCCCTCAATGTCTGCATCATGTAAGACCAGTTGACCCGATCGAAGGCCTTTTCAGCATCCGTGGATAGCAGTATAAGGCGTTCTCGTGAAATCCGTGCTCGATGTTGTATGGAGAAGAGTCGGAGTGTGCTGTCTCGGGCTTCTCTACTAGGTATAAACCCCGTCTGATCCGCATGGACTATGCTCGGTAGTACTCGTTGTATTCTGGTGGCCAACACTTTCGTAAGAAGTTTTGAGTCCACGTTTATTAAGGAAATTGGCCGGTAACTGCTGCAGTGTTCGGGATCTTTCCCGGGTTTGAGCAGGACTGCTATAGTAGCTGCCAGTGATTCTGTGCCGAATCGTCCCCCTTCTGTAATGTTATTAAATGCCTTAGTTAGCCAAGGTAAGAGGATCGAGGAGAAATGTTTGTAATATCCCGCAGAGTATCCATCCGGGCCTGGTGCCTTGCCCACCTTCGTGGCCTTCAGGGCCGCAGCCACGTCTTCGACACTAATTTGTTCGTCTAACATATCTGTCGCGTCTATGTTTGCTCGTCTGCTTACATTATCCCGGAGGAAGGCCTGGATTGATGCGGGCACGGTGTGTCCTTGCGATGATTCCGTCGGCGTAGGAAGGTTATACAAGGTGTGATAGTATCGGCGGAATTCATTTGCGATGTCTTCAGGGAATGAGGACGTGGATCCCGATGGGAGGCGTATTTTGTGCACCCTCGTGCGGGGGGTGTCGCCCCTCAGGAGGCTTGCCAGAAACTTGCCGCCCTTGTTGGCGTGAGTGTAGAAGAAATTTTTCGAATATTGCAAAGAGCGATGATATTTCCGTGTGATAAGGTCTCTGTGTTGTCGTCTGGCGTTCGTCAATTCTGTTTGTGTGGTATCAATTTGCATCCGTTTGTGCTGTTGTTCCAATTTTGCAATGGTTTC